CCAACAAGATGGACCGGCCCTTCCTTCTGTCACTTCCATGAATGCTTTGTGTGTGTCGAATTTGTTTGGAGCTGGTGTTCTCTTCCAACACCTATTTCCTGTTTGATCTGATTTGAATGACAAAAAGGTGCAAAAAAAGCAATAGAAACATTTAAAATTCAAACCAAAACATTGAGTTTTCCCTTACAAGAAATTTTATTGAAATGGAATCGGGAAAATGATTTAAAACGAATAAATGTTATGTACTTTAAATGTTTTGAAAGTTTGGCTCAAGGGATGTATATATGTTGCTATCATTATATTACAAAATGTTTTCAATTTTTATTGACAAATTGCGAATTATATTGGATTTCTAGGTACCGGTAATTGGTCAGAAAATGTGACGAAGTGGTCTGCACAATCTTTGCAGGCAGCGGCCTCTTGTGGTACTATTGAAGAACAGCAAAATGGTCAACATTTAACAGGCGATTTGATATTCTGGAAGCTAAATTATAATACTAATACAGTACTCTAGTATCAACACCAAAATGTGATTTTATTCTATAGCCGTATCACTTATGCGCCTATAATATACAATAATTATTAATTATAAATACAATAGTTATGTTTGAATATAGTTCCTATTTACTTAATGATGAAGAAAGGACTTTATTGCTATTTAACATTTGCAAACTGTTCAGGTCAAGCTTGACCTCTTTTGACATTTGACAGCAATAATATGCTTCAAATGTCATTATGTCACGTTACAATTGGATGAGTTTTCCTCAAGTAAGATAAAATACACAAAAAATTCCAATATTGAAAGCAGCGCATCCTACACTTTGCCTACACTGAAGCAGTTCCAGGTCAAATTTGACCGGTGTGAAAAAGATTTTAGATTTACCGGTGTATGTTAGATCGAAAAAAATGTGATAACGGTGAAACACTTGAAACTGTGTAACGGTCATTGTCAACGGCGTATCATGAGTAAATAAACGAGAATTGTGCAGTAATATGAATCATCTTTATATGCTTTGTGGAGATTCAGTTAAATCGTTTTTTACTTGCATAGCGAAGCAAAAGGGAAAAATAAGAAGGGGAACAAATGACTGTGTTTTTAGCAAAACCACTAGATGGCGGTGAAACACAGAATACTGTGCATAAGGACAATGTGAGGTGGTTGAATGAATCCAAATGTAATGCTGTCTCAAAAACAGCACTTCTAGGTCATGGACGCAGATAGTGGCTCCTGATAATACAGAAGGGTGTAAAAGTACGTATACAGTATTATCACATCGGTGAATTATTAGTGATATACATGAATGAATGTAGTTGTTATATTTGTATAATAAACACAATAAGTATTGTATGTGTTCTCTCTCTCTCTCTCTCTCTCTCTCTCTCTCTCTCTCTCTCTCTCTTTTATAAATATACGCTTACTTTTGCTCAATCCCGGAATTGCATCAGGAGCGACTCGGGAGTGTCCCCATTAAAGATCCCAAGTGGACACGTACCAAACAAAGGAATAATAAGCCTTTTGATGATGAAGTGGAGGGGGAGGAGGAGGAGGATGATGATCCGTTTGATGTTTCTTTCTCATTTGTCTTGATCTTACTCTTTTAAAACATGGATGTCGTAATATCAAGGATTCTGAGATGGAAAAGTAATCGCTTCACCATTGTTAGACTTTGGAATGCAATATATTTAAGTTTTTAAGTTAATTACATTTTTATTGGGGCAGCACGAAAATGGGTGGTTTGCACGTCCGCCTCACAGTGCAGAGGGCATGGGTTCGAATCCGGCCCCTGTGTGGCGTTGCATGTTCTCCCTGTGCTTGCGTGGATTTTCTCCGGGTACTCCAGTTTCCTCCAACATTCCCAAAACATGCATGGTAGGTTGAGTGAGCGCTCTAAATTGTCCCAAGGTGTGAGTGTAAACGCGAATGGTTGTTTGTCTATTTGTACCTTGTGATTGGCTGGTAACCAGTTCAGGGTGTACCCTGAGACAGTTGGGAAAAGCTCCAGCATGGCCGCGACCCTTGTGAGGATAAGCGGATCAGATAATGGATGGATAGATGGACATTTTAATTGCCAAAACAAAGGTAGTTTTCATATATCGTGATTCGTAAAACAGACAACTAAGTTCCTCTTCTGTAAAAAATGACTGCGTGAAAGGTTTATTAAGGCTGTACGTGTGAAGTATTTGTTGTAGAATTGCCCCCCCCCCCGACATAATATTTTACGGTTATTAAAACATCCATCCATCCATCCATTTTCAACACCGCTTATCCTGAAGAGGGTCGCGGGAATCGCTGGAGCCTATGCCGGCTGATTTCGGGCGAAACCTAACCTCTCACTTGGTCGGCAGTCACAGGGCACACAGAGAGACAAATAACCCGACACACCCACATTCACACCGTCACTGAGTGGGAACCGGTTCCACTCTGCCCGCACACAAGTCAGGCAAGTGTACCACTACACAATTAGCGACTGCTATTAAAACATAAATCGGGAAATTAGCTCGTCCTTTGACTCATCCTAAATTCCCGATGGTTGTGGTGAATTTTCACTTTTCCGACACGACTTGAAGGCACCGCGTGACTCCCTCCTCGGTCACGGGGTGATGACGTCACAACACGTAGGACGTGAAAAAACAGACCAACGTCCGACGTGAACATGTTCCGGTGTTCTCCGCTAAAAGCTCAGTGGAGTAGTCAGGCTCATCGTCGGATTGGACCTCGTCGAGCAACCAACTGAACACCACCAGCAGAACAGTCTTGACTCCGGGAACTCACCGGAACCAAACCCCACTGTTTAAATAATTCTATATTTGTTTTTATTCACTATTTATTTTTATTGGCTTACGCGCCAATGCTAACTACCCTAGCTCGCGTAGCAGGTGAACTTATGCCATTCGACTGTGACCAAATACTTGTCGCTGTCCTTCCTCTTCATTTCTAGACAGCGATAGATAACGAAGGACATTCGGACTTTTTCAGTGGCTGTCAACGCGATCCCTCATCTCGGCTGTTCTTATTTATTTATTTTTTACCGTGTCGGGACGTCTTCTGGACTTGTTCCTGGCTTGAGGCGTTCGAGGTCACCCGCGCACTTGGGCTCTTTATCAAATCCCCCAGAGGGAATGAAGAGCTTGCCGTACTTCTGCCGGGGAGAGGTCGTTCGGGGCTTCGGAAGAGGCAGCAAAGAACTGGGAATACCGACCGGTAACGCCTCTTTGTCGTTTGGTTTTTTCCTGGCTATGCGTCTTTGTTTTTTAGGTCTTGTAATGGTTTCACAAACGTAGACTTCCGTCTTCTGCGGTCACCAGCCTTGATGAAACTGACAGCTACCTATTGGGTACTAATTTCCTCTAAGGGCCGCCAGTTTGATAAACTGCTCAAATGATTTCGAATGACATGTTATCTATAATGAATTATACTAATCAATAAAGACAACCAGTCAAAGGTCAAAGGCACGATTTGTCTGTATTTGTGTGTCCGTACTACAGCCTGCTAGTGTATGAGAGGACACTGAACATAGTAACAATTTCTCGCCATAATTATCAACAATGATTTAACAAGAAGAAAAACTAATCATGTATTTCAATCTTGATAGGTGTTTACGTTTTCAAATTATCGATTTTACAACATTCCCCCATGAAATCACAATATCCCATCAGAGGCTATTTTTACAGCAGACCTGTAGGCAACTCATTTGGTCCTTGGTGGCTACCTTTAGCTTTACCTTTTAATTTAATTAGCTTTTAAATAACTTCAAGGTGGGCAAACTATGGCCCGTGAGCCACATGTGGTCCCCTCTGTCCTTGAAATTGTTCTTTAACCTTTTGACAGGCATGTAACGGAGAGGAATCAGGATTGTGTTTGCAGAGTCGTATTGTCACCTCGTAATGTGCATGTATTTATTTATAGCATTCCTCTTCCGTGTTGCTCATATCATACTTAGCAAAGTCATTGAGTTCCATTTACGGTCTTGTGGTTCTCATCAGATTTTCTCAATGTCAATTTTAGCCAACTTCCCTGACTGTGTGGTGGAGCACCTGCCTGGTGACATCGGCACGGGCATCTACTACGGTTGGGCCTGCGTGGGAAACGGCGACGTGCACAAGATGGTGATGAGTATTGGCTGGAACCCATATTACAAGAACACAAAGAAGTCCATGGTGGGTACCAAATAAATGGACGCCAGCTGGCAACTCATTATACAGTGAATGAGGAGTCGTCCGATCAGGGTTTTAAGCTGCCGATACCGATCATCAAAGAGTGTGATTGGCTGTGTGTGTGTGTAAAATTGAGTCATTGTGTAAAAATGACCTTTCTTCACAAAATGGCAACATTCTTTGCGTAAATGTCAAAATTGTTGTTTTGTGAAAAGTGACCTTTTTAGGTTAAAAGTGCATCATGAGACAAAAGGAGAGTGCTGGGGTATAAGTACCTTACGTCTAATAACCTACAGATACCGGTACTCAAGAATAATACGAGTGGAAGTTAACATGCAGGGGAAAAAAAGCGAAAATGCTGATATAATATGATGCAAGGATGTCATAAGCTGATGTAATCGGTGACTTATGGAAACTTGCATGCATGGAGGCAGAAAGAGCAGCCATTGATGCCCAGCAGAAGAAAAACTAAAAGAGAACATTGATGTTAGCTGGAATGAAATGAAACGTAGCGCTTGGCCTGGAGCTGAGATGCCCGATTAGCACGGTGGCGGAAAAGCGGGTTATCTTGAGCGCCACGCTGTCATCAACGCATGTGTGCTTCGCTTGTTCCAGGAGACTCATGTGATCCACAAGTTCAAAGAGGACTTCTACGGCGAGACCCTCAGCGTCGTCATGGTGGGATACATCCGCCCGGAGAGAAGCTATGACTCGCTCGGTAAAGCCAACGCACGCTCTCATACTCGCACACGCGCGGCGCTACCCGAGATTTCGTGTCTGGTCTGAACCTAGCATAAAAGCGCCAAATCGATCAAATAAACACGAGGGTACAATTAGAATAAACGATTTGACAGGCCACGCTTCACAAAGAGAATGCACCTCATATCTGAGTGTGCCATATGGATGTCATTTCTTAAAATACCGTATTTTCCGCACTAAAAGGCGCACCTAAAAGCCGTCCATTTTCTTCAAAGCTCACAGCGCGCCTTAAAATCCGATGTGCCTTGTGTATGGTCATTAGGGTAATATTTCGACCCCAAAATGGCTCCTTGCTCGAGACATGCTGACAACGCAGAGTTCAAATTTAGGCATTATGGTAACAGAAGGCGCAATAACGGAACTTTGGCCACAATGCAACGGAGGATTCTAGTTAAGGTACGGCATTATAAATTAATAAGATAAAACCTGTTTCGCGAGTAAGAAGCGGAAATGTCATCCAACCGAAACATGTTTGCTTCTGTCAACACGGGCTGCGTTTGAAATTTGACTGCGATGCTCTAAATTTCTATTTGTGATGGTCTCTACTTGTACATGTATCCAAACGTGTGTGTGTGTGCGTGTCTGTCCATCCTACAGAGGCGCTGATCGCCGCCATCAACGGCGACATCTCGGAGGCCAAGGTGCAGCTGGAGAGGCCCGAGCACGTCAAGCTGCGGGAGGACAACTTCTTCATCAGCCATTCCACCTCCACTTCAGCCGCCTCCTCCTCAAAGACTTTCATCAACGGCCACTGACGCCAAGCGGCGCGCATGGCCGGCCGGCCTGTTGCCGTGGCGACACCTGGGTGAAACCTCATCGTTACTTTGAATTGTTTTGTAGCGGCTGTCTTGTTTTCTGTCTTTGTGTACGCACACATACACACACGTGTACATTTGCGCATGCAAAAACACATTCAGTAAGCCAGTGTAGGAGCGTGTGTGTCAAGTGACGCTATGCAGAATGACCTTGGACAAAGAAAAGATTGAATCACTACAGGCTAACTCTGTTGTTTTGTTTCCTTCATTTGGTTTTTCAAATAATCAGGAATCTACTTGAATGGTGGTCTTGGTAACCGTTTGACTCTTTATTCCTTTCCTCGGTGCACAGTTGTCACACACTGACATTACAACAATGCGTTTGGAAAAGATCTTTAATATCTTCATAATATTTCAATCCAAATGATCCAACTTGATTCTTGTTAAGCATCAACTTTATCTTTGTAATATTCCACATTTCTTGTAAAAAAAAAAAACAAAAAAAAAAAAACAATGTATTCTTGTAACATTGATGACATACAACTTAATTGGGACAATTTTCTTCCAAAACTCCAACTCTTATATAAAGCTTGACTTTTTTTTCCACTGCAGATTTTTTTCAAGTTATTTTTCTCCGTTTTGTGTGACAATATTTTATATAAATTGTTTTTGATGTAAATATCTCTACGAAAATTTTGTTTTTCCTTCTGTGTACAAAATTATTCACATTCTGTTTTTGCACACAAAAGTACACTTGTTTCCCCACATTAAAACTGTCTTTTTTTATCTCAAAATTTGGACTTTTTCACAAAAGATTTTTGTCAATTGAAATGAACTTTTTTTGTTTCATGTAAAAATGTCACCTAAAGTTCAGATTTTGTTCCACGGCTTTTATATGTCATTTAAAAAAATATTTAATTATTCTCGTCTGTTTTATTTTTTTCACAAAAATACAACTTTGCCTCACGTGAAATAACTTTCTCATCTATTTACAAATAAACGACTTTTTTTTTAGGTTGTAAAATTACGTTTCCCCTTTTTATCTTTCAGCACTTGGGGCAAATATTACAACCCAGCTCTTACCAAGGCCACTATTACATAACAAGTGGAAGTTAAAGTGTAGAGTTGAAGTTTAGCCAGTAGCTTGAACTTTTCTTTGCACATAACTGCAACATTGTTGGAAGCTCAAAGTCCACTCACTCGGCAGAAACACACACTTTTCCCTCCTATCGCTACATATATGTTCTCAATTCATTTTTGTCTGCATACTGTCAGGTGTTAAATTATATAATAAAATATATATACGTGTAAATGACTTGTGAATATAATGTGATTCAACCTGTGAACGGTCACCAAAATGTTCAGCTTTAACTCTCTCACTGTCTTGTGTTCTTCAAACTTTTATATAAAAAAAAAAAAAAAGAGAGAACTGGAACTAGAGGGTGTCCACAAAGTCTGGGTACAAAGGAGATGTCACGGTCACCAGACCTTTCTCCCCTTGACTTGTTTTTCTGAGATAAGTGCACTTGATGACCATTACAGATTCTAAACCATGAGATTTTGCAAAGTGCGTCAAATTATGCATTGAAAATTATGGAAATCATGTTGAGAATATTTATCACCATTTCAATTCAATTTTTTTTAAATGTGGGGGCGTTTTTCCATGTACCCTGACTTTATGGACACCCCGTAGAAGCACGCTCTGACCAGAATTTAGTGCTCAACGAGAAACACTTCTTCCATTTTTTTCCACATCATCCAATAAATCCTCAACAATTCTACAAAAATATATTCTTTGAGTTAAAGTATTTTTGGGGGGATGAAATGAAAATTTCAGGTTGTGTGTGTGTGTGTGTGTGTGTGTGTGTGTGCGTGTGTGTGTGTGTGTGTGTGTGTAACTAGTCACTAGCTAGTTAAATATAAAAAAGCTATTTGACGGCCATTTTAAAAAAATGTCTATTTTCAATACAAGGTATAGTCTCACTTGTGTCTTAGAATACATTTAATCAACTTTTTTTTCCCTCCACAAAATAACAATTTTATCATGTCAGATGTCAAATTTCAAAAGTGTTACGTTTACTTTTTCCACATAAAATTTCATTTGCTTAAGACTGGATTTTGTTAAAAATCAAATAACCTTTTGAACATAAAATGTTTTCTTTTGACCACATAAAGCGACAGATGTGATATATCCACTGGCTTGTGCGTATTCACGTGTAGGTGTAGCTTTCATCGTCATACTCCAGCTCAATGTCATCCTCCTGCTCGCCCAAATAGTTGTACTTGAACTTCCTGTACACAGTGCCATCTTGTCCCATGTACACGATGTCGTCTTCATCGTCGTCGTCGTCATCGTCATCCTCCGCCCTGACGATTCTGTCGTTATACTCACCAAAGGAGGACGCGACGGCTTGCTGTGTCGCGTCTACAACTCCTTCATTGTTGTCCAGCTTCTGGTAGCCGCCGCTTTTGGTTTCGGTCTTGCTGGCGGCGGCTGTGGCGCGTGACTTTGAGCGAGCGCTGAGGAAAACAAACACCCCGGCCCCGACTGATAGGATCAGGAGGACGCAAATAGTCATTGTCAGTCTGGCCCCGCCTCGGCGTTCTCGCTCCAAGTCGGCAGCATCTTTCAGCACAAAGTTGACATCCAGGATGCACTCCTCTGGAAGAAGAGGTTGAAATCACTGCTTTACCCAGCAAGGCGTGGTACAGTCGCCTACTACTGTACATATGGCCACTTCACTCTTTATAAATACCCTTATTTGCATTTTTTTCTGTGGAACCGAGCCACAGCGAGTTGCTCTCATCCATCAAACAGGAATCGTGTCAAGGAAGTATTTGAGGTGATACGCTTTGACAGTGATGAATGGGACAACAACAAAAGAAGCATCCAAAAAGCTATTTCTAACAAATGTTTTTGCATGTCAGTGTGTCCTTTTTAAAAGATTTTTTCTAATACTTATGCGTATTGTCGGTCAAATATTTTTTTTGTATTTCTGTCAAATGTTTCCATACATTTTTGTCTCAACATTTTTTCAAAATATTTTTGTTTGTGTTTTTCTCGTCATAATTATTGTGTAATATTTTTACAATTGTGCAACACTGAAATCTTTTTCTTAATATTTTTCATGTTTTTTTCCGAATCAATTTTGACTACTACTGAAATACTTTTCCACTCCCCCCCCCCCTACACAAAACTACAACTTTTCCCATCATTTAATGTAAAATGCACTCTTTTTATTTAAAAAAATAGTTTTAGGACTCTTTTCATTTAAAATTACAAAACTTTTTTTCCCATGTAAAGTCACATTATTTTCTCATGAATTACACATTTTAAACAACTTAAAAAATGTTTCCATACTAAATTACAACTTTTACTTAAGGAAATAAAGGTTTCAGGTAAAACGAAGAGAGAAAAAAAAAAGGACAAAATTTGGAGATACAGCATTTGCTTTTTTCCTTCCTTTTCATGAATGATTGCTCCAACTGCTGCATGAGCTTGCACTGCGGTGTTCCTAATAATGTGTCTGCTCGTCTTACCCAACGAGGCGTGGCAGTCGCAGCACTTCCAGCCCAGCGGCCGGTTGGCGAGGAACATCTGCTCGTGGCAGCAGCTCAGGCAGCGCCCGTCGTCGCTCAGGATCTGCGAGGCAGGGCACTCGGTGCAGTTCCAAGCACCCCCGCCACGACAACCCAGGCAGGACGGGTCGCACCGCCGGCAGTCGAGCGCGTTGCCCTCCGATGACTGCTCCTGGAACCGAGAAGAAGAAAAAATTGGTGTTCTGACGTAGACGGAGGTCAGCATATATGAAGAAGATAAAGACCTGGGAGGCTAAGTAGAAGCCAATCATACACTGGGAATCACAGATGCTGGAGCCAATCAGACGGTATCCATGGTAACACGACTGGCAGGACATGGCGCCGGCACCTGGACATACACAGTCATCAATTAGTTACACTCATATATGCTTCATCATATCACATATACTAAAATGAAGACTTACAAACATTGTGGTCATTGATTTATGATCCATCCACAAAAATAAATAAATGATTGATTTATGGCCCCTTCATTAAAGCATTAAGGAATGTGCAACTCGATTTTATGTGCTCCTAGTGTAAAATTAACAAGGAATATCATGATTTACACATTAACATATAAACCAACTGTACAAGACGGAAAAAAAGGAAACGGTTGATTGATTTACGGTCCACCATTAACCCATTTAATCCCAAATTTTTCCCAGACATTTAAAAGTCAAAATCAGGTGTCATTGGTAGCCCTTTTAAGTAATCAGTAATAAATTAAATCATTGTTGTCCTTCACAAATGCGACCGGTGGGATTAAATGGGTTCAAAACCAACAAATGTGCAGGTGGATTTTATGGTCTCCTCATGTCAAAATACATCATGATTTATGGCCCGTCAACATTGGGATTGGGGGCGGGAATGTGACTTCTTATGTCCACAAAAAATACTAATTGATTTATGACCCGGCCCGCAAAAAAAATTAACAGAATGAAATGGTTGATGCTTTATGATCCCTTCCTAAAAACAAAGGAATGCACGGAATATTTGAGTTGTTTTATCTCTTCACCTCAGAGGGATAGAAGATTTGTGGCCCTCCATTCGATCAAATGAAGGAAGGCCCAACTGAGGTTTACGGGGTTTCATTCATGAAGTTACTTCACATGAATGGATACCTCTCAGGTCAGTGTGAATCAAAATTCAGAATTTCTTTTATTTGGTTTTCTCTGATAAATATATATTATTTTGAAGATTGATATTGTCCTGTTAATTGACGAGGTCTTTGGCAATGTCAATGAAAAGAGAGCATTGTCTTTATAAGGGCTAAAATTAGGACAGCTCTTGTACAGTAAAGGAAATAAATAACTTCTTGTCACTAATCATTTGGATCCATTCAGTGACCGCTGTAACGCTTCATTTTTGAGGACATTAATTCCCCAGCGACGCTATGAACCCGAGTCATCCTCACAAGAGCGGATCACAAACCTGTGCACGTCTTGCACGTGGGGTGGCACTTAAGGCAGGTGTGGGTCCAGCTGTGATGATAGTATCCCGGCGGGCAATTCTTCATGCAGCGGCTCTGGTGCCTCGCGTAGACGAAGCCGCTCCGACAACTCAGGCAGTCGGTGTCGGTGGGCCCCCGACACCGACTGCAGGCAGGGTCACAGCGCTCGCACGCCATGCTACTGCTGTTGCCGAAATGACTAGAAAAGGAGAAATGACAGCAAACGTGATAGCTAGTCAATGATAAGTTTCAACTCTTAACTTTCAAGTTTCAGGCAAGTCTCAAATTACTCTAGCAGAAGTCGAGTCACACAATCTTGGCCTGTATACTACAGTGGTGGGACAAAATAATTTTCACTGACCACAACACAATTTGCAGAGGAAAGGGATTGAGTCTTTACCATGAATCAAATGCTCACCCCCCCCTCCCCCCCTCCAAAAAGGGATTGGAGTTCCCTATAGATGCTACAAGAAAGCAAAAAGT